CAGTCTTATCTAGAAATACATGTTCAAAGAATGATGCATTCCGAGATTCAATAAAGTATTTACATGCATTTCAGAATGTTCTGATTTATGAATCAAAAATCGATATGCACTACTATTCTTGGCATAACCAATGAAAATGCAATCAACGATTTTAGGACATATATTAGTCTTTTTAGGACTAGGAATAACCACTTTAGCCAAATACTCCCACACTTTTAAGTATTTGTAGGATAGTACTCTCCCATGCCACATTTCATAAGGTGTTTGATTCACTTTTTCTTTCGAGATACTTTATTAAGTATATAATTAGCAGAAAGTATTGTTTCCCCCCACAAACTTTGAGGTAATCTAGAACTTATTAACATAGCATTCATTATTTCTTTTGAAGTCCTTTTTTTCCTTTCAGCAATTCCATTTTGATGAATTATTCCATATTCTTTACAAAACTCACTAAAAGGTAATTCATATTTACCACCTCTATCACTTCTAAGTTTTTTAATTTTCTTACCAAGTTGATTTTCAACTTCATTATTGCATCGAATGAAAGTTTCTAAAGTTTCATCCTTGGTTCGAATTAAACAAACATAACTATATCTAGTATAGTCATCTATGAAAGTGATAAAATATTTTTTCTCACCTCTAGTTTGAATTGATTTAAAATCACAAATGTCACTATGAATTAATTCAAGTGGCTCCGTACTTCGTTCAATTAAATGAAAAGAAGTTTTAGTTAATTTTGTCGCAACGCAAATTTTACATTTATGATTTAAATTAATGTTAAATTTAGGTAAATATTCCATATTAATTAATCTACCCAAAGATCCATAATTAACATGTCCAAGTCTACCATCCCATAAATTTGAAAACTCAAGCAAGTAATAAGAAGATGTATTTTTATTAATAACAGAGGGTACAACAATCATTATATCATTTTGAAAAGGCCATCAAACATGTAAAGTTTTCCTACATACATCCAATTCTTAGTAAATACAAATTTATCACCCTCAAACACTAGCCTAAATCCATTTTTACTTAACAGAGATCCGGAGACTAGATTCTTGCGAATACCTGGTATATGCAGCACATTGTTGAGAGTGAGTTCCTTTCCAGATGTCATCTCAAAACAATCTTTCCTTGTCTTTCAACTTTAGAAGTCGAGGAGTTGCCTACAAAAGTTGTTTACCGTTGTCCACTATTGAATAAGATGTGAACATCTTTTTGTCGGCACAGATGTGGCGAGTAACACCAGTGTCCACCCACCATTCTTTAGGATTTCCGACAAGGTTTGCTTCGAAAACAACTGCAGAAAGATTTATGTCATCTACACCATTGGAAATTTTTTCTACTTCAGTCATATTGGCTTGAGCAGGCTTCTTGCTTGATCTTTCTTTGCCTTTGCCTTTGCCTTTGCTACGACAATCTTTGGCCCGATATCCCTCTTTGTCACAGATGTAACATTTTCCATTAAACTTGTACTTCTTAGCTTCCCCTCCTTTAGAGCTTTGTGAGGAACTTTCTCCAGAAAACTTCCGTTTCTTTGCTTTTGGAGCATGTTCAACCACATTTGTCTAGACTCCATTGGATGCTTACCAGCCCGCTTTTCATAATTGCGGTTATCCTCCTCAATTCTCAAACGCACAATTAATTATTCTAAAGTCATTTATTTGCGTTTGTGTTTGAGGTAGTTCTTGAATTCTTTTCAGCCTTGTAGTAATTTCTCAATTAATACAACAACTTGGAAGGATTTACTGAGAGACATGTCTTCTGCATGAATGTCATGCAGAATGAGTTGGAGATTTTGAACTTGACTGATCATAGTCTTAGAATCAACCATCACAAAGTCTAGGAATTTCCCAACCACAAATTTCTTTGAGCCAGCATCTTTTGTTTTGTACGTTTTCTCAAAAGACTCCCAATGTTCCTTTGTCGTTTTGATAGGGCTGTAGACGTTGTATAATGTGTTATCAAGTCCATTCAAGATGTAGTTCCAGTAAAGGAAATCAGCATGTTTCCAAGCATTGACGGCAGCAACCACTTGTCGGTCGGTTTCATCCTCTTTCAAAGTAGAAGCATCCTCACGGAGGAAACATGCCAGGTTGAAAGTAGTAAGATAAAACAACATTTTCTGTTGCCATTTTTTAAAATCAGTTCCTGAGAACTTCTCTGGCTTTTCACCGTGATTGATTGGCACAATCATAACAGGAGAGGTTGGAGCAATTGCAGCGACTACACTAGTTCTTGTTTGAGCATTAGTTTGACCAGTTTCAGTAGGCATGAATTCTAAATTATAAAACAAAATTAGAATTAGAATTTTATACTACAAAGAAAATTTAAACCAAAATCACTGAATTAAATTCTGTAAAAATAAAAGAAACAAGAATTATAACTTTTATTTTCAATTAATTTGAAAATAAAATAAAATTTTATTTAAACAAGTTAATTCCACACAGAAAATTAAATTTCTGTAACATTTCAAAAATTTAAAATACTGAAATAGAATTTTAATTAATGAAAACTCAGAAATTATTTCTGAAAATCAAAAATTAATTTCTGACTAACTTTACAAATAAATATTTTGAATTGTTAATGACACCAATATATTACTACTAGTTATCAAAGAAAATAAACAATATATTACTACTATTTGTCAAACAGTATATTGCTATTATTTGTTTTTCCAACTAGAATATTTCTTTGTAAAATCACAGAAAATAATTTTTGTAAGAAGAAGAAAGAAAAAATGAAACAAACGAGAAATTTTGTTTAAATAGAATAATTCGAATCTATTTTAAGATTGTTGGAACAAATTTCTGTGTAAAATAAATAACTCAAAACAAATAAAAATAAATTACTTGTAGAATTTATTTTACCAAAATGTAAAAGTGCAAAAAGATCAAGTCGAGTATATGACACTCTGTTCTTAAGACAGATTCACCCCGCTACGGTGCTTACAGATAAAAGGCGTCTATCTCCTAGGATATAATGATCTTCACAAATTGTAGTAGCACTCCAAACAATTTGTACAACGAACAAAACATGTGTTCAATACTCTCTTTAATTTTTCCTAAAAAACTAATATGAAGAGAATTTATGCAAATGAGCAGAACCGGGAGGGAACCAAGAGAATTTCAGATTTTTTAGGATGTAAAAATCTGCTGGAATGGGATCTCCATTTATAGGCAACTTGACAGACCCAAACAGGTATGATATTTGAATGAACAGGTGAAAATTTAAACTGGACAGATACAACATTGTTTCGAACAGATAACTACTAGGCAGTTTAATCTGTTGGAAACTGCAGCAGTTATAAAGCTAAAACAGTTTGAATCTGTTGTGGAATTCGGAAGAAGCACAAATTTTGGACAAAATTTTGAATTATATACATTTTGCAATTCAAATAATTTTCTTTCAAAAAATTAATGTTAGACCTGACCCAACCCACAACCCACACCAGAGTCCGGCCAAACGAACAACGGCAGCGTGCACGTGTGATGGTTTGAGCCAAGGTTCCATTTGTCTATAACTTTTCCTTTCTACATACTTGGGGTGCCTCTTGGGGCCCAACTCAAGTGTTGTCACTTAGAACTTATATACATACATAAGTTCTCTTAAGTTTTCAATGTGAGACAAGCCTTACAAGGAAACCCACATTTAATTCTTTAATTGTCCATTCCACGAACCCGAAAACGATGTCAATTTCCCATTCACTTATAAATAACTTTGACGAACCGTCTTCACCGTGTGACTTACCATGCGGCAAGGAACATGTCACCTCTTTGGACTCATTCGAAAAGACATTTGAAACACACTCAAATTTAGGCTCAAAGTTAGTCCAAAATAAACCTATAAAAAACCAAAATTTTCAACAGTGATCTCATCCCATTGTTATTGGATATATCTATATAATAAAATATGTTAGTTTGTAAAAATGTCTAAGAGATATAATTGGTTAAAACAGTATGAATTGACCTAATTAAAGATGAATGGCTGAAATTGCTTGATTCGAAATAAATTTTCTGTCTAAATAATTATTAACTTTTATTTTAGGCAATCCCACGTCAGAAGAAAAAAAAAGGGAAAAATGAGTTTTTCACATATATAAAGTGAATCTTATGCTTTCATTTAATATTGCAATGTTGTGCATGCTTTAGTTTAAGACAGTTAAAATTTTAAAATAAAATTTAAAATTTTAATTAATTAATTTTTGTATAACTTAGTTGATCTTTTGACCTAACCGATTAAGTTAAACTGTTTTTGATTTGATTGATTCATTGGTTTAGGTCTCGTTTGGGAACAGGCTAATTTAGTAACTTTTTGGCTAATTGGCTAAAAAGGTAGGTAAAAAAAACTTGTATGTTTGGGATGGCTTTTTGACTAATTACGAAAAACTGTGCAAAAAGTAGAGAGAAGCCGTAATTGTTGACTTTTTGGTATGACTAATTGGCTAATAGGCTAATTTAGTAACTTTTTGGCTAATTGGCTAAAAAGGTAGGTAAAAAAAACTTGTATGTTTGGGATGACTTTTTGACTAATTACGAAAAATTGTGCAAAAAGTAGAGAGAAGCCGTAATTGTTGACTTTTTGGTATGACTAATTGGCTAATTGGCTAACTTTTTGGCTAATTGACTAAAAATATAGCATCCCAAACGAGGCCTTAACCACTATTTTAGCATTTCCAAAGATTGAATTGGTTAAAACAGTGTGAATTATTGACCTACTTAAATATCCAAAGATTGAATTGGTTAAAACAGTGTGAATTATTGACCTACTTAAATATTGAACAACTGTGATTGCTTAGGATTCTATTTAATATTTCTTATCCTTCCATTTAATATGGTAATACTATTCAACACAATTTAAATTTAAAAATTAATTAATTAATTTAATTCAGACGTTACAAATTAAATATAAGTCAAAAAAAACTAGCACTTTAGAATGAAATTTAGGTCAAAAGACCTAGTACATATATTATATAGGGTGAGAAAGAGACAGTAGCTATATAGAGTTCTGTTCCAGTAAAACTCATAGTATTATATAGCAGAACCAAATCTATACAAACACCAAAACCTGTTAAAAACCCCACCTCACAAGCTCTCTTCAATGGCGGATGACATTGGGGAAGTGAGTTCTTCCCAGAAGAAGAGAAAGCGTAAAACTCTCAGCAATCGTCCCAAGCTTCTGGTTGATGACAAAGTTGAAGTATTGCCTTCTTATTTTAATCCTTCTTGTTATTTATTTATTTTGATACCACCAGTGGTTTTAGTTTTCATGGTTTATTCTTGTAATTATTTTATTTGCAATTACTGTTAATCTTTTTGGTTATGCTTCATGATTGTTCGTTTCCAAAATTGTTTCTTGCTTTAGTTGTATTATTTTAAGGGTTTTCCACACCTCTATTGGGGTGATAAACGAGCCGAATAGTTTACTATTCAAGCTTAAATTTGAAAGCTATAATAAGTTTAAAAATTTATTCAAGTTTGGTTGGTTTAAATTTTTTAGATCAGCTCGAGGTAGTTAGATATTTCTATACCGTTTTAGACTTATCGAACCATCGTGATCAAGTAATTGACTGTTTAAATTTGATTTTAAAATTTTAACGAGTTTCAAAATATATTTAAGCTCGACTTACTTATGTAACAAATTGAACTCGAACATTGAGTCGAGTTCGAATTCATGTATCATTATTGTTGTTGTTGTCATTTTTTTTTTAATTCAAAATTAAATCATAATGTATGGACAAATTTTATTCCCAAAAAAGTGATTAACGATCACATTTTTATAAAAGCATAGTTGCTAATCAACATTGTTTGAACTACTTTTCGAGTTTTAATTTTTCAAAGTTTTAGTTTTCAAATAAAAAACTTTGTTAGCTATGTTTTATGGTAGTTTAGAAATAAAGATTTTTTTTGTAGTTTAATTTTGAATAAAATTAAATGTAAAATTGTTTAAGGCTGGTTACTTTAATCTTCATGCAATGATTAATTTGGGATTCCCAATATTGAACTAGGCTGGTTTAATGATTTTTATCCAAATCCAATCCCAAAAAATTCTATAAAAAAAAAAAAAAACGAATTCATTAGAGAGAATTACAATTCAATTACTTTTTTCCTTCTTATTTATTTTCCACTCACAAATATATGTATAAATCTAAGATCCGAACTCCATATAACAGTCTCTCCATTATAAAGAAAATGATATTGGAAGTTAAAATAGTAGGAAGTGAAGCAAAAGAAAGTTTAACAAAAAAAAAAAAACTTTAGTTTCTTGCATGCATTTGATTATTATGATTACTTTATAACAAAATGATTAATTTGGGATTCTATATATTGAAACCAGTTCTTGAATCTCAATGAATACTTTCTTTCTTTGGTTGATTAGTGTACTTGCAATATCCAATTTAGGACTCCTTTAAATAAACAAGTCTATGTGTTTCATCAACGTTTTCTTTTTTTGATGAATGCTTGTTTTTTGGGGTTAAAAAAAACAAAAACAAAAACAGAAAACCCTGCTCATTGTTATGCTCTCTTTTGCATTGAAATGTGAAATTGATGTAGGTGAGAAGTATTAAAGACAAGCTGGGCGGGTCATGGCGCTCTGGAATTGTGATTACCCGTGAAAATCAGGCTCGTAGAGTCCAATACGACCATCTTTTCTACGACAATAGTATACAACCTCACATTGAATCCATAAAAGTTCATCCTATCGTTGATGGTATCATTCCGGCCAGCAGGGTAATACCGTGTAACCATCGCGGTTTGATAAGGCCATTGCCACCTCCAGTTGATTTCACAAAATGTTCTCTCCAATATGGATATTGTGTGGATGTCTATCACACGAAGGCGTGGTGGGAGGGTGTGATTTTTGACCATGAACACGGTTCTGAGTGTCGAACAATTTTCTTTCCAGATGTGGATCTTAAAATTCAATTCAAGTTTGACATGTTACGGATTACTCAAGATTGGGATGAATTTACTGAAGACTGGAAGATTCGTGGGAAGTGGTTATTTCTCGAGTTGGTTGAAGAATTTGAGCAAGAATGGCCGGTTAGAATTTCAGTGAAGCAAATATGGCACCAAGTGCGCGAAAAGAAGGGTTTTCAGAAGCTTATGGAGTGGACTTCTACCCTTAGGAGTACATGGAAAATTTTGGTGTGGGAAGTTATTTTCGATAATTGCAAGCGTACTCTAAATCAAATTTTGTTGGATGCTATGTCGAGGCCTGAAGCTGGTTCAGGTAACTCTCCTTCTGTCATTTTAGTTGAAAATGATGGCTCAGATTCTAGGTTGTTGTCTACTGGTAATGCTAATAATAACTTCATATCCATTACGGAGGATGACAAGTTGGGTACGAATCTCTCAACTAACTCGCTCACACCTTTTAACAAAGATGAACTTTTTAAATCACCAGTTGGAGCGAATAAAAGTAGTAGTTGTGTGCCTAGTGGCAATGACATTGTCCCTAGAACCGAGTTTGGGCCTGATGAAGTTGACAAAAGAGTTTCAGTTGCTGTTTCAGATGGTCCATTCGTGTCTCCTCTGCTCGCTCAACAACCAAACACGTGCCTGGAAGTGTCTGTGATACGGCCTCCTGATGACAGAGTTGTCAAATGTGAATCTGAATATTGCCCACAAGCCATGGTTGATTACTATTTGCTTGGATCAGTGGAAAAGAATGATAATTGGAAGTGTTATAAGGGCGCCAAAGTTAAGGAGCTGCAATTTAAGGCGAAGAAGCATCTCACTGCTGTCGGGTGGTCGTTCTGGTACATCTCAAAGGGACAGAATCGGGAATTACGGTACACTTCGCCAAAGGGACGGTCCTATAATTCGCTTCGGACGGCATGCAAAGGGTATTTAGATGAAGAAGGAATCTTATTTTAAGTGTAAGTCCACAAACAGGTTAGCTTGATCACTTGAATATTTTGAAATTTTAGCTCCCATATTTTTATATAGGTAGTTTATATTTGGATTATCACTTATAAGCATTCAAAAAGATTGCTAAATATTCATGAATCTACCTTATAAAATATATATTCTCTCTCTCATTTATGTCCTGTTTGATTGAAGAGAAAGACCGGAAAAGGAAAAAGAATTCAGAATTTAACAAAAACATCAAACAGAAGAACATGCCATCAATTTGAATTCACTTTCATAGCGCTGCAAAGTGTTTTAGGACTACAATGCCTTTTCCTACAAACACTCCACTTTCCAAAATGATATTTTCTTATTGCTATACCTTAAAAAATTTTAAATGCCAAAAACTTGTTTTATGTACAACATTAATAGCCACAAGTACAACCCATAGAAGCCATATCAGGAATGCAATTCCCATGATCCAAACTGTTCATCCTGTTACTGAACTTCTCCAAACACAATCTCATTGGTTTCCTCACGACTCCGCTCATAGTAAATTTGTGGGGTAGATGAACAATACCAATGATGGTGTTGCTGTTTCTGTAGGGGCGGTCAATGGTGGAAGTCTCTGTTCCACTCGCCATAAAAATCCCGGCTTTGCAAAAGCTGTTGCATTTTCTCAGCATCCTTCGACATGAACGGGTAGGTTTTTCCTAGAGTAGGGGTCTGGGACTCGATAGGTGGGGTCCGGGACTCAATAGGTGGGGGCTCGTCTTCATTGGGTATCACATAGCTCTCTTGCACCTGCCACGCATTTGAATGCTTTTGTTGTTGCTGGTGTTGATATTCATAGTTCATCGGCTTCTTTCTAGACCCCGGAAATATTGCTCTATAGATTTCTGCAGCTGATGCCCTGGTGTTGACAAGAAGCTTGCCAAGAGATCCGAAGAAACTTTCTTCGAGCTTTTCGTCTTCATCTTCAGTTGGTATTAACAGTGGTCTCGCTGATGATTTCATAGAATCCTGATATGGACTCAGTGGAATGCTTGGATTTGGTGTCTTCTCATCCTTCAGGAGCAATAGATAGAAGGGAAAAAAATGTCTTATATTGTAGCAAAAAATACTGGAATTTTGAACGTAAGGCCATGATTGGGCAGGAAAGTCCATTCTGGAATACACTCTTGTCAAAAATACTACTGCAACTAGTAAATGCATAATCTGGGATATAACTAGGGGAGTACAACCACAGGTAGGGTGTAAAACAAATCAAAAAATCAAGTTACTCGAGTTTGACTCAATTAAAACTTGTTTGAGATCGACTTAAAAAGTAAATAAGTTAAACTTGAACCTATTTTAAAAGTTATTTAGTTTCAAGTCAAACTTGAACTACTTACTACTCAGCTTGTTTACAACTCTAGCCATAGGAAGGTCTAGAAAGTGAAGTTTTTACAGAAAACAAACGATTTTGTTATCCTCTTTTCTTAAAAGGTTTTCTGTCACTATGAATACGAGTAGTCAAGACCTTACCCTATTTCTACTTTTCTACGTAAGAAAAATTGCAGGTGCGAAGGCATAATTATTAATATAAGAATGAGAGCGCCATTGATACTCACATTTTGGAGAGACACCATGGTACTGACCCTTCGTTGCAGCAACGCCAGCATGTAACCAAAGAAGCTAGCTGCGACAAGCAATATGACTCCTGCAGTGAAGTTTAACTGTCTTGTAAAATTGTTGCATAAAAAAGATCAAAAAATAAATAAAAAACCGTGTAATTTTTTACCAAGAGGGAATCTGCTTCCATATTGGTAAACACAGTCATCAAAACGCAGTTGGATCTCCCGGATTGCCTGGCTTCCTCTGTCTATGACAAGGAGGGAGCAACTGCTTCCGACGTAAACCACATCAAAATCATTTGAAAACTTAGTGTCTTCACTCGCTACATCTACATGCCCTCCTCCACGGCCCCATTTACCTCCTGCTATTGTAGTAATTCCTGGACAAAGAAAAACGAACCTCTTCAGAATATGAAGTCTACTAATTGTTGTGATGTTTCAGAAGATAAATCCAAACAATTATGCTCAAACGGCCTGTAATGTCTATCAATGCTTAGAGGCAACAAAAGATAAGAGTAGTACTATAGATAAACAAATTTTTTATTAGATTTTTTTACAACTCGACACAAATGTAGTGGAATCTACATTAAAGAAGAAACCACTTCAAGTGTTAATCCACGTCAACTCTCATCTTCCGCCAGTATTCCAAACCCAATGGAAGCGTAAGTTATCCAATGGCACCACCATCCAATAGAACTTTAGAGACCATTCACCAATCTGGCAACGGACCTATCTTAGTTACCCTAACAATAGGTTTCCGTTAATGTATTGCATTTTCCCAAAAGATAAGGTGGTCACAAAGTTCTCCCTACGTTCTAGAAATACAGCTATGACAGCCAAGCTAGTACTAGAACCACTGAGAAAGGTAGAACAGAGTATTAGAAGACCATAATTACCTACATAAAATTTTATTAGACCAAAAAAAAAAACCACTTAGTCAGCGGCAGGAACAATCACACAAAACACTAGTTGCATTTACGATTTACCCGTATCAGTTATTTTCCTGATTGCCATATTCACCGTATCTGCAATATAAATGTTTCCTCTATCATCCACTGTAAGCCCTTTTGGGTGGTTCATCCTTGCCCCCCTTGGTTTCCCATCTATATGTCCAGAGTATCCTTCAGCAGATCCAGCAACCAGCTTTGGCCGGCTGTCTGCAGTTTTCCAGAAATTTTTTATTAAAATTTTAATGCAACAGAGAGAAGAATTTCATTATAAAATTCTAATATGGAAGTGACGATGCAATTTCGATGCCAATTTGTGGAGATCAACATGAGCTATATGAGGGATGATTCAAGCTTCAACATAGAAAGTGATGAAGCGATTTTGATGCCAATTCATTAACAATTGTTCATACAGGTTAAACATATGTTTTAGTAAATTGCTAGTGAATGTGAGTGTTTTAACTTTGTGCAGAAACTCAACCTAGTGCATAGCTTAATAAGGAAACACATTTTTCAGAAACTGAAAAAAAACAAAAACAGAAGAGTGGGATGTCTCAGTAAATCAATCAAAGAGTTCAATAATGTACAATACAAAATGGAAAATTGTACTACTGAAAAGAAAAAGAAAAAGAAAAAGAAAACAAAAACTAGTACAAAAACCAAAATAAAGTGACATAATTCATAAAATTAAGACTAAAAATAGCCAGCAAAATTTCAAGACACTCTGCAACAAAACCTATTACTTACAGATAGACAAAGGGGAAGAAATCTTGTAGATATTACTGTTAGTAGAGTCCAGTACCAGAAGCTCCCCACTGGCCAACACCTCCACAGAGTAGGGCTCAATCCCAAGCTTACTACCATCAAACACAGTTTCAACACTGTACCCACTCTCAAACTTCATCATCGGACGGCCGGTGATTGCTGAACATCAAAATTAAACAAAACCCACACCATTCCAGATAAAAAATACCAAATCATTTAAACCCCCAAAATAAATTTTTAAAAACAAGGGTTAATTTCATTTTTATGTCCTAAAATATTGTCAATTTTTTATATTTTATCATTAAATTATCAATTTCATCTATTTAGTCCAAAGAGTTTCTGATTTCAGTTCATGATTCAAATGGAGACAACGCTTTCAACTCATTGATGGTGAAAACCTAACCAAATGGGCAAAAATGTATTACAATTTGAATGATCTGAATTATAAAACCAAACAACTATTTTCTTACTCAAACTATATTATTGGACAATTTATATCTTACAAGAGACACCCATGTTCTTTTCTATTCCTTATTTCAATTTAGGCTCCGTTTGGGAAGAAAAAAGCCAAGCTTTTTTGGCTAAAATAGCCACAAAAAACAAAATAAACTTTTTAGTTCAATAAAACAAAATATCACATCTAACCCATAATCATTACATTCTTTCTCTCACAAAAAATCCAAAAAAGCTAAAAAAAGTCAAAATCCTTCCCAAACGAGACTTTTTAACCCAAGCTAAAATAGTCAAAAAGCCAACCCGCTTCCCAAACAAACCCTAGTGAGTTTTAAGTTATTCAAATTTTGAAATGACCATTCTGCCCATCGAATTAGGCATTGACAATTTGACGTTTCAATTGGACCGCATTAACAGAAATTACAAACTTTTAGGGATTAAATAGATGAAATTGAAAATTAATGACAATTGTTTAGGTAATAAAAGTGAAATTAAGAAAGGGAAAAAAAAAATGGTACAGTTGGTTGTACCAGAGAATATCATCAAAGATTATATACCTGTTTTGGTAGTAGCTTTGAGTGACCACAACCATTTCATCAGTACAGAGACAACATTTGAGAGAAACCCACTAACAACCTCTGCAATACAGATCATACATACACACAGCCATGAATTAGGAAGGAACACATTGAAGCTCAAAAATCAGAACAGATCAAATTACATATACATATGTGCGTGTGTGTGTACTCACTTGCAGGAGAGGTAGCTTGAGCTGATGAGAAACCACCAAACAAGACTACAAGGGTGAGGGCCAACACCAGCACATTCTTCCCCATCACAATCATTTTCTCGAGAAAAAGTCTTTGAGAAAACGTTGAGAATTGAATGTTCAAGCTCTCCACATTTCATCAAACCCCTAAATTCATGGTGTTTGAGGTGAAAGAGGAGGCATTGAAGAGTGGTTTTTTTTTAATGGGTTTTTGGTTTTTCATCCAAAAAAACAAAAACTGTGGTATTTGAGAGAGGGGAGAGTGAAGGGGAGGACAAACGAAAAAGGAGAGAGAAAAAGCAAGAGGGGCCAATGGAAATAGTAGAGTGGAGAGAATCATATACTATGAATCTGTGATTACCCAGTGCCACCATTAATGCCCCAAGAATACTTAAAAAATTTACTCGAACAGAAATTTTTTTCATAATATTTCTTTCATAATGCCTAGCATTATTGATAAATAACAGCCGTTAGGTTTGATGGATGGAGAGTCGTTATGTACTCAAATGATATATTAATTTGATCCTTATAGTTTACATGATGTGTCAATTTAGTCCTATTGTTTTAATTTTCTTGATTTTCACAGGGACTAAATCGACACATCGTGTAAACTAGGTCTTATTTGTCATAATCTAAAAAAGTCAAAAAGTCATTATTCTATTTAAATCATATCATCTTATTTAAGTCACATTTCTCTATCATATCACTTCAAACCCAACCCACATTTCATAAGAAGTCAAAAAGTACACTTATTTATGTCATCCCAAACAACCCTAAATGTACCAAATTGACACATCGTTTGAGTTTTCATCCACAAAACCTAACGACCGTTATTTATTGGACCAATATAATATATTCTGTTAAATTAAGGAGCAAAATCATGTAAATTAAAATAACAAGAATCAAATTAACACATCATGTAAATTACAAGGATAATTTACATAATTTACCCAATATAGAATGATGTGATTGCAATTAGGGTTCATTTGGTTAACTGAAATAAGTGGAATGATAATTCTTTTGTGATTGCAATTAGGGTTCATTTGGTTAACTGAAATAAGTGGAATGATAATTCTTTAGGTTTTATATGATCATTCCTTTAAAATGGTAAATAATGTTTTCATTTGTAATACAATATAGAAATGAATATTTTAATAAAATGATTATTCCATACTGTTTCATTCCAATAAACCAAATACTTCCTTAAGATTTATTATTTTAAATAAATATTTATTTAAATAATATTTAATTTTAAAAAACTTTCGTCACATTATCTTGTACCGATATCCTATTTTAAAATTTCGCATGAATAATATTTTTCTTACATCAGTGGCACAAATAAAAGACAAGAAAGCATGACTTTTTTTTATAATTTTTTTAATCAATTTCAGATTTAAAAAATCTTTTTTTATCTATGCTTAAATACTTTTATTTCAAAGAAAAGAAAAGAAAAAAAAAACTCAAGCAGCAAAATTTGGTGGTGGTACGTAAGTTATCAATATATGCACAATAATTGCTAGGTAAATTATATTTTCATTTTAAGCCAAAAGTAACTAAGGTGGTAGATTTTAATTGGATGGTGATTTAAGCTACATCTTTTCCCAATAGAGACCAGTTTGGATCAAGTTATGAACCAATAACCACTGCTCTTTGTTAAAAATAAAAAAAACAAAAATAAAGACTGAAGCACAAATTCAGTTAAAAAATTGATAGTACAAATATAAAAGGTAAAACAAAATTTGTTTTTTTGATGGGATAAAAGGTGTGTGAGTGATTTTCTGATCACACTGCTCGTTTAGTAATTAGCTAGAGAGCACTGGCAGAATAGATGGCTTTAGTTAACCTGTAACAGAAAGAAAAAGCTCCGGTGGTGGTTCTTCTACCCGGGGGCACTCCGACGATCAAGTCAGTATATCTCTCAAAGATAATCAAGTGCTAAACTTACTGCTCAAAGCATAAATTATGTACCTTAAACCCATGGGGGTGCTTCTCTTTTATAGTTTACTTAATCCTAGTCTCATTAGAAGCCTGACTTCTATGGACTCCAATTCAGTACTTATTTTAGACTCCTCAAGAGATAAAGATAAACTCCCTAAGAGCTTTATCCTCATCTTGATTAAGTCTCCTCTTCATTCTAGGACTCTTGTCCCTTATCCGTTTATCTCGGATTCCGATATCTTCGGAGATAACCTCGGCATAACAACTAGGACACGTGGCACCTCAGCTGACACATCGGCGTCACCTTGCCACGTATTGGTACTCATAAATATATCCCCACAACTGCCCCTAGGTTCTATTACCTTGGCATTCTGAGGTGATGGAACCGATATCGGTACTTCCTCCTATACATCGGCTTAAGAACTCCTCAGCCGAGATCATTTTCTGGCCGACATGTTTTCTTCAGCAAACAAGAATTCCAGTGAATTTTTTCACGTGTGTGAGCTGTCACGTATCATTTGCTCAACCGTTTCATTCATGCGTCTCCATCTTATTGGACCGTGCTCATGATGCGCTTGCAAGCCGTCTCTCTCTCACGTGCGTCGTCTGACGCATACGTTCTTCTAGGCGTATTGATTATTTTTTGTCGCCGTTTTCATTTTTAACAAAACATTTTCTTCGATTTCTCCCTTTCACCTTATTCTCATTTCTAGAAAACTTTTTCTCTCTCTAGTTTTTCTCTTCTTGAGTCCGCCATTGTTCAAGCTTTTTGCTTTGAAACTTATTCCGTTCACCCCTTCCGGCGTGTTTTGCACTATTTCGTTGCCTTCACGACCCTCATCTGATTTCGGTGATCTTTACATCGGCTTCATATTTTCTGCTAAGAAATCTGTTTCTTCTTGTTCCAGTTTTTTGAGTTTTTCTGGAATTTCTTGTTTACTACTGCCTTGCTCAAACAATTAATTTGTGAATCATACATCTGAATGCGTTGATTTCGTTTTTTGCTTATGCCTTAAATACATGTACTGTTCATAGTTTTCTTGCACGTCTTGCCACTGTTCTTGGACTTTAACCCTTTGTATTCTTCATGTTCTTGATAGTCTATCTCTGTTCTTGATTCAGAAACTTCGTTTTTGTTTTCTGTTTTTTGTGTTTTTTCCAGATCCGTGCCTTTGATCTTCATCTCCATAGTTTTACGTTTGGGATTTGTCTGTAGAACCCACATTTTAGGGCAAAACTGAAACATCCCTTACAAATCTTTACACCAACTAAAACCTAGGTTTTTTGCCGAGGTCCCAATAACCCTATTTGAACCATCTTCTTATTGAAACCCAATACCTTTAGTTATCCCGACATCATGGGTATGTGGGAAAATCGGGTAAACACCCCCTCTAAGTTGAAATTTTTTAGACAAGAGTTTGAAATCCCAGTCGATGTCAATCTGAGGTTGGCTGGGGATAATGACTCCATCATGCCTACAGAAAACTCTATGCCCTTCCCTGTGGTTGCCTTTATCGAGTGTGGACTCCGGTTTCCACTTGACCATTTTTTTCGTCAAATCCTTCACTTCTATAAGTTGAACCCAATGCAACTTGCCATCAATTCTTACCGAGTTATCACTGGCACCATAGCCTTAGTTAAACAAGAGAATGCCAGAATTACACTTGCCGATTTCCAGTACTGTTACACCATGTGTCGTCTTAAAAAAGACACAGACTATGTCTATTACCTTAAGTCGAGATCCACCAAATATAAAATTGTAGCCGACCTCCCAGACTCCAACAAGGGAGCTGGAGATGATTACTTCATTGTCTCGGGCAATTGGGAGTTTCAGCCAAACCACGACCTCCATCTTTATCCTTTAAGCCGAACTGTTTTGGGGGAAGGAGCTGGTAAGGGCCACCCTTCATAAGTTTCTTTTTATTTTCTTGCATAAATTGTTCAATATTCTTGTTCTAATGTCTGTACTTGTTTTTATCTTTGCAGTTCTTCCTCAACCACCAAAGAATTTTCGCCAATCCTTCTATCCCAGCAAGGATTTGAAAAAACTTTTGAACTTGCCGATTCACAAACGAAAGGCGCCTCTGCTCCTCAACTTTATCCCAACTTATAAGTCAGCCTTGCCCGACGTCCCTAAGAGGAAGAAGAAAAGCCTCTCTCCACCTTCTGCCACAACTCCACAGACCACATCCACATCTCGGACAGATCAGGGGTCAACTTCTGATCCAACCGAGCAACCGTCATCTTCAGCTCCATACTTGGTTCCAATTTCACAGTGCCGCCGCCGACGCCGAATAGTTCCTACTGCCGAGATGGGTCGTGCAAAACCAGTTGCAAAAGATCTTCTAGCCAACATTCCTTCATCTGTTGACAATCAACCAGCACAGACCCTTCTTCCATCGAAGCCGAAAAGAGTAAAAAAAGCTCAGCCAAGAGCTAAAGTTACTCAAGTTGAGGCTGAGGATGCTCTGCCAATCTCCAAGTTGGCTAAGAGTGACAAGTCTCAACCTTCAGCTGGGAAGAGGCGTTCTGAAGCCCAACCATCAGAATCCCCAAAATCCAAAAAACCGAAGTCATTCTCCGCTACAACTTCGGGGTCTAAGAAGCCCACTGCCCCCTGGGCACCCGAAATTACTTTGGAGGATAAGCCAGTCATGGCGAACGATAGTGCCGAGGATATTAATGTCGACGTTGCGTTTAGCACTGCTCTGCTGCTACCAGGCGATTTGGAGCGAAACGTCGAGTCGAGCGAATATGAAAATTATACGTTGATGCTTCAACGCTCCGTTCAAGTAAGTGTCTTTCATCTGGCACTTTTTTTTATTTTCTTTTTCATACTTAGAAATTTTTGCAATAACTTTTACCCTGTGTTTTCTTCAGGCCATCCAGCATGCCCACTCTTTTTCTGTCCAGTCTTTCGAAAATCGACAGAAGTTGGTTGAGATGAAGAAGGAGTTCTCTTCCCTCCAGAAGACCAACAAAGGTCTTCAATTAAAGATGAAAAAATTGGAGGACAAAGCCGAGGCTGCAATCAAGACTCAGACCAATGCCGAAGAGAAGGCTGAGGCTGCTGAGGCTATCAAGAAAGTGGCTGAGTCTCAAAAGAGAGAAGCCGAGGAGAAAATGGTTCAAGCTGGAAAGGAGCTTCAGGAGGCACTAGCCACCAAAGAAGCCGAAATAAAAGATGCCGATGAGAAGGCATATGCCCAAGGCATGGCTGACGTCACAAATGCCTACGAACAGCAGGTGAAGGAGGCATGCAACAAGGGTTTCACCCTTGGTTAGATGTCCCTTCTAAAGAAACTCAATGTCCCAGAGGACTCACCGTTGAGGAAAGTCGATGCCATTCCTCTTTCATTCCCTCCAGCTTAACCTCCAAGTCAATACGTTGGTGAATCTGAGTCTGAGGATGGTGATGGAAGAGGATGAGG